GGGACCGTGCATTCCAGATCATTAAATCGTTATGTTCGAGCGACATACTAGCGAACCTCCATCTTATTTCGCCTCGGTGGCTACCGCTCTGTGGGGAGCTCGATTCGATACGGTAGTCCATGCGGAGCGTCGCCGTCTTCCCCTTGCGCGGTAAGTCGGATAACGGGAAACCCGCTCCCGCTTCTGTTGCTTCTCCTCGACGTCCTGGAAGACTGTCGAGTCAGATCGTGACGTACAACAGACCCAGTGTTCGATTGCCCAGAGTCGGCTCTTGAAATATCAGAATGCGAGCTCATTCGTGACACCGCGGAAAACATCCTTGAGCTCGACCCCGTCGTTGAAGGACCAGGTCTCTGTCTTGAGCGAGAACGTGATGTTCGGCTAGGTTCGGCGCTAAAAGATTGCGAATTATCCGTGTCCTGATGTCTCTCAACATGCTGGTCGTCTGCTCCGGTACCCGATTCTGGCAATGTGTGGTCCTCGAGATGGTGGTGGTCTTGTTCAGTGGAAGTGAGGGAAGGGGCTGAATCTTCCGAGATACGGCGTGGCGGAAGTTTGTGGAGGCGTACGGAGCCGGAAGCTGAGTAGGTGGACGGAATGGATGAGGTTTCTGCTTGTTGACGAGAACGATAGGATGGCTTCCGATGGATTAAGCTAGAAGTTTCAAATTGAGAAGACTGGTCAGAGCCGTCCTCGAGATCGAGCAGCTCAACATCAACCGGGTTCATATTGCGGAGTAACTCGGCAAACATGCGCATCAAGCTTTGGAAATCTTCATCGCTTAATGGTTCGGAGGAAAACCGGGCGCGTTCGTATGCCGCGAGGAACGCCACCGTCAGAGAGTTATCCAGTACGACGCCAATCTTGATAAGATACTGGAGGTAAGATCTCATACCCATGTTTCCACTCCGGGCGAGCTGATCAATGACTCGCGGATCAGGCATTGGCGTGCCATCTGGATCAGGCTGGGCGTGCGGGTCGATGGGAGCAAGACTGACGGCTTTGGCTTCGATCAGGTCAATCAACTCATCCACGACGGTGCAATATTCGAGTCCTGGCAACTCCTGGGAAGCTGGTGATGACCAGCCAGGGTGCGCTACTTTCCCCCAACTCGGCTCAGCATCGTGGTCTGTATCGGGCTGCGTATTTGTTAAAGCGAGCATCCTCGTCCCGATATTAATGGTGTCATGTTCAATCCTCCGGCTCCTCGGTCGGGCTTGATATGCAATCACCGCACTCTTCTCCAGACATTCCTGAATAAGCCTATGCACTCGTCGTCCCGGTAAGTCCTCCTTCTCAATGGGCATATATGTTTTCGGAATGTCCTTAAGCACCGAACGATTTGTGTACAGCCGCGAAGCATAGATCAGGATGGCCAATAGAGCCGTAACAACATAGTCGCCGGCAATGAGGAAGATGTCGATTAGACGCCGGCGCTTATAGGACTCATACAGCGTATCGGCGGGGGTGACAGCAACGACAACAATGAGAATTAGGAAGACGGCGGTGAACGAGGTGCTGTAGAAGATGCGGAAGATGACCTGGCGCGCTTGTGCCATCTCTGCGGTCGTGGTAGCGTGGGTGAGTGCGCTATGATCATGGTGCTTCTATTACGGACATGGATCCAGTAATCGTCTTATACTGAGGTAGAGAATAGGCGGTGATAGACGTGATGGTGGAATATACAGAGTGACTGCGTCTAAGGGCTGATGGACTCAAGCGAGCAGCGAGTCAGGCTCACAACGGCTTCCCGGCTAAACACCGGCTTATCATCAGACACTGACGAATGACGCCATCAACGCCATCGACTGATAACGACCAGGCTTCCCCCAAGAAAGACTAAAGACCTTCGAGTGAGATGTGTTGCCACTGATCCTGCCTCTCGCAGCCTTGCTATATCATAGCCTGATCTTCAACATCGATGCCCATTCACACATAGGCAGACGAGGCAGCTTCATTGAAATATAGCCGCGGCAACGTTGCCTCGTTCTCATTTGCTCGGAGGAATGTATGCTCCGTGAGCAGGATCGATTTGTCTGGTGCGGCCACTGCGACCAATAAACGGTGGAAATGGCTGCAACATACGCCTGATGGTCCAAATGTTTAGATGGAAAAAGTCCCCCAGTTTGGGAAAGAGCACTGGAAGGTTGGTGCGGCTGACAAATCAACGTCTGATTAGGCGCAGTTTCAAGCCCTTGATGGAGCAGGAAATACACGAGTGAGACCTACATATTTAAACACGTCGCAGCACAGGAGGAAACTAGCGGGATCTCCATCTGCAGAATAGTCTCTTAAAAGGTCAGCCAAGCCAACTGGGCACACCTCCCTCTCCCTGACCTCGAACACCATGGCGCCACTCAACCTCTACGACACCACCGTCGTGGCCATGATCCGCACGCTTCGCAATCTCTCCAGCCTCCTCAAGAAAGGAGAGGCCTTTGCCGATTCCAAAGGTATCCCGCACTCGGAGCTCCTCGAAGCTCGCATAGCTCCGGACATGCACATGCTCCCCTTCCAAATCCAGACATGTTCCAATACCGCCAAATTCGTCGCCGTGCGCGTCGCTGGTGTGCAGAACGTGCCGTGGGAAGACAACGAGAAGACCTTTGACGAATTGCAAGCTCGGATCACCAAGACCATTGACTTCCTTGAAGCGGTCAAGCGGGAGGATTTTGAGGGCAAGGAAGCGGGTCACGAGATCGAGCTCCAGGGCAAGAAGCTTGATGGGCTAACGTACGTCAATGCATTCGCCGTGCCGAATTTCTACTTCCATGCTGTTACGGCCTATGATATCTTGAGGATGAAAGGAGTTGGCATTGGGAAGAAAGATTGGCTGGGCGCTAATTGAAGAGTCGAACCCGCGGAGGAAGTGGGCAGACATGTGCTAGGCGCAGTTTGACTTTGCACGTTGTGAGAAATGGCTTTCTACACCGGGCACAATTGAGATGTGAACTGGCTGTGCTTGTCTCGGGCTCAACCTCGCTAGGAAGCTGAGAAGAGATGTCAACATAGATCTATGAAAGGAAGACCAGTTCACGATCAATCACATGGATATTTTCATCGCTGTGCAACCGTCTCACGCGTCTCCCCCATTCGGTCTTGCCTTCACACGATGACTAGATTTCACGCTTCTAGGGACACAGGTGTAGAATCGCAGTCGGCCGCTCAAGGTTGCTTTACAACCAGCGGACATCATGCATCGGTTCTGCAAAAACCTAGGCCCATTGTGGTCTGGGTCGATTGCATTGGTGCTGTTCTCTATTCCTACGAGGATCCCGAACTCATGTATCATGAAAGGCTGTGATCACATGAATTGGCGCTCTGGTGCCTCTGACCCTGACAGCCTTGTCACCTGACAAGGCTGAGATTTCCGCTTTAATATGAGGTAAGGCTTGGCGCGGCGGGAGGCGTTTCTTTAGGAAGCTGAAATAATTAGCAGTTGTACCTACAAATGTGGACTTCTCGGCTGGACTGATCCCACACCTTCGGGAGGACCGAAGACACCCATTTATTTTTCTCGTTACCCCCAAGTTCTCATTGGTGTGCATTGAGTTCGGCCCGCTGCCCATGGGAAGACATCGTTGGCCTTTGTTTTCCACCTCTTTCGAAACAAGCAGCATCATGTTCATTGTGAAAAGGTCCAAAGAGCAAACTTCCTGGTACGTTGAGAAGTATCGAGGGATTACGAAGAATGGACTACGAAGATTCTTCCCGAGAGCGCTCGCACCACTGAACAACGCGTCAGAATTCTCAGGAAAGCTGGCATCAGATATCCCCCTCAAGCCACGAAGTCTCGGCGGATTGCGACCAGCAAACTTAGAAACAAGTAAACAGAGCCTAGATCACTGCCTAATTCGGTTGACGAGACGTTCAGCACATCCACAAAAGGTCGAACGGAAGCATCCAATCTTGCGAAGCGAGTCGGGTCAATGAGCCGAATCTGGGCCAGCAGTCAGGACAATTTACCCCACGTGGCGTTTTTAGCCCCTGAACGGTTCCTGAATTGATTGTCGCCCAAGCCTCGACCATGGGTTTTTTTGCGTTCAACGATGCCCGTTACGGAGAGACATTTTACATTTACCCACTTCTTCACCAAGACGCACGTCAGATGAGCATGTACCGAGTTCATCTTTGCCCATCATGGGAAGAAGGAGATTGTGTCTGAACTCTTTCCAGCAATGGCATGATGGCGCGCAACACGGGTGGGGGTGGTGGTTGACCCTACCGTTCATCCATCTCGTATACTCGCACAGATGTTCTGGCAAAGTTCCTCAGGCTAGCCACCTTTGCGCCAGGCCTCGAGGCATGTAGGATCCGAGTTCTATCTTCAGCCACAAGGTTGAGTTCCAGCCGTAACAGGCATGGCTGTACTACTACTCGGAGTGAGGCGATACTGGAGCTCTTGATGCTACCTAGGTATCGGCACTAGGCAGGCGAGCGCCATCACAATGCTCGCAAGATGGGATTGGTTACAGGCCACAATTCGCCACGCCGAGACCAGACACGAGTGGATCAGAGTCTAAACAAATCCTGTCCTCAATAAATCCATCAAGACTCTGGACGTTCGCTGCTTCCAAGGAACTACAGTCTTTCTTCTGTTGGCATCGCGTCTCTGACGGTCTGTCTGGCGTCCATTCTTTTTCCAATTGCAAGAATGCTTGCACACGTTCGTTACCTGCTTCCTCTGCTTCTCTTTGGTCCAGGATCTGCCCAGGCATGGAGCAGCTGGGCTGATCCTGACACCACAGTGACCAAGGTTGTGACGTCCATTCATTACATTTGCCCTTGCGATACCTCTAAGGACTGGTCCGAATGGACGACTCGGCCTTCAGCACCAGTCTCGCGAAGCCTGACCCACGAAGGGGGCACGTCCTCGCATCCTCATACCTGGGAACCATGGCGAAGCTCGACAGCCAAGGGTGATGAGAGTGTCTCTAGTACGAGGGGAGCCTGGACTGGCTCAACAAAGGGTTTGACAAGGACAAACTCTCGCAGCAGCCATGACCATCCCGTGTACACATCTGTGAGTTGTATTCAGCACAGGACAAAATTTGCGTCTTTGAGGACTGGCCTTCCTAACGACACTTTACTGTAGCCTCACACCTATACCTCAACATCTTATAGCACGACGACAACGACAAGTGCACGATCGTCAGAACGCCCTCCCACCACCTCACAGACGTCAAGCACGACCAGTGTAAGTGTTGAAGAAACCAACGGGATCGATACAGACGTCTAACTAGTCTACAGAGTACCACGACTTCAAATACAAGCTCCACCAGTAGCTCGTCCACAGGCTCTCCGACCATATCTCCAACTATCTCTTCAACCAGCTCTTCGACCACTTCTCCTACTACCACTTCGTCCTCGACTACTACCTCCACGGAAACCTCCACGACAACTACAGCTACGTTAACTACGCTGTCAACGTCCACAACCACAACCACCACCACGACTACCACGACGACGACAACGACAACGACGACCACAACCACTACAACGTCACCCACTACAACCACGACTACCTCGACAACCACCACCACCACGACAACATCAGCACCGCCAGCCGTATCATCAGCCTGCTCGTCGGAGCAGTATAATGACTGTCTCAACATGAGCGGTGGCACCTGCTTGTGCAATATCCTATCTGATGGCCATACACCCCAGTGCAACACTGGCGCGGCCTTTTGCTCAAACTTGGGCGAAACCTGCACTACCGACAGCGACTGTGTCGACAGGTACCCGGACCTCCTCTTCGACAGGTGTGTAAGGAACGACGGCCTCTTCGGCCCCTCCTGTTCATCACAAAACTATTGCGTCGAACAGGGCACGTGTCCGCAACCCGGCGGCAGCGCGAAGAGGGATCTGGAAGCCGTCTTCCGAGCACATGGAAGCATGCCTGCGGGGGAAGGAATGAAGCTGAGCAGGCGCTTGATAATGGGGTGAGAACTTTTTTTTTGGTTTTTCTTTTTTTGCGAGAGTGGATTATCAATATAATATGAACTTTATACAACGTCTCTGGGTTCTGTCCCCTCGTCGCGCGATACTAAAGGACGGACGTGCCGCGGCAACAGAATCATCAGGGTCGACGGAGTTTTGAGGAATATTAATGCACAGCAACATATTTTACTTTAATGGTGTTTTCATGTTTCAATCGCGTACCGCCTCTTCAGGAGTCTTCAGACCCTTTGGCTGCCAAGCCAGGCCACAAATACTGAGCCGATGGGGGATCACCACCAGCTCTTTTTTGATTTTTAAGCCATCTTACACCGTACACCTTACACCTTCATCTTGAATCTTACAGCTTACATGAACATGGACATGGACTGGATATGATTAAGGATCGTGACATGAATTTGAGCTTGATGAAACCTTCCCAAGCCATATTGAGAAGTCTCAGTCTCAGTCTCAGCCTCAGCCTCAGACCTAAGTTATGCACATACACATGTACATAACCATAACCATAACCAAGAACCTACTTGTCTTTGTCGCGGTCATCGTTTCTCAATTCTTACATGCATGGGTTCCTCTCTTAGTTCCTCCCTTACACACACACACACACACACACACACACACACACACCACATATGCGGGTTTTATCATGGCAGTATCTACCACTTATAACGACCGTGTTTGTGCCTATGCCTGTGCCTGTGTCTGTCGCATTGAACCCCGATTCGTCCCCACGACCCCGCGGTAATACCTGTACTGGGTACTTTCATGAGGCCCTTACTCTCACGCACAGGGCTTGGTTGGCCACGACCTTGCTTTGTAACATTGTACCACCTTGGCACCCAGTCCAAGCACCATTGGCCCATTGGCGTAACAATAGAGAGAGACCGGGCTTAGTAATACCAATACTAACATGTACCAGCCACGCCAGCCAAGAGCGAGCGATGGTGGTATTAGCGACAAAGCACGACGAGACGAGGTGGTAAGACGGCCCTGAATACGAAAACTTAGCCCCCCGCCATTTCTCGCTCCCAAGCGGGAATAAACGTACTTCCTCTTTCGACGCGCCCCTACCAAACGTTCACTACAGCCGTCATCCTCGCTTACAAACACCAAACAGCCGCATAGTACTACTCGTAGGTAAGTACACCTAAACAAAGGCTTCGTCCCGATCGGGCAGTGCGGGACCCATGGCAAAGATACTCGGCAAGTTTCCTCGAGCCTGCTCTAGGTCTAGGTGACCCTTGTAACCAGCTCTTCCAGGCCAGGATTTTCCTGGGTGATGCTACCCTCTCGAGCTGGTGGTGTAAAGCACTGGAGTCGTTGTAGTTTCTCAACAAGTAGTATTGAGACGTGGCTCGCTTGTGAGATGCGCTCTGGATACAACGACCTGTGCTCTGGGCGGCAAAATCCCCCTTGGCATGTATACCAACGAGCATATAAATAAATGCAGTGCAGCCGTGTCCCAGGATCTGAGATGAGCAATCCAATCTCCCAGAAACGTGAAATATCTCCTGCAAGGTCCAGATTGCTGCAAGCGACTCCAATCAGCACCCATATTGCCATCTTCACAGGAACGCCAGCAATGTCATCGCCAAATACCAACCGTAACATTCCGCCTGGAATTAGGGACGAGAAGCGTCGCACCATCGTCAACAAAAGCTCGGGAGAAACAATCACATGGACAACATACGGGTGTGAGACCGGAGGGAAAGAAGCGAACGCCATCCTCGTGTGCAAGCCACGAGGTGGTCCGCCCCTCCACTACCACACCACCTATGCCGAGCGGTTCGAAGCGGTCGAAGGCGACTTGGGTGTCATCTTGGGCAATAGGGAACCATTTCATTTGAAGCCAGGCGAGTCGGCAGAGATCCCCATTGGCACCCACCACCGCTTCTTCAACGACGGAGACAAGGACGTCACTTTCAAAGGATTTGTGGTGCCCGCCCACGCAGGCTTTGAAAGGAGCTTGTACGTACTCTTTGGTCTCAACAACGATGGCTTGGCCGACCCGAAGACCGGTATGCCGTATAGCATCTTACATGCCGCTCTGGTCGGCGAGATGAGCGAGTCGAGGTTCCCAGGCTTCATGGGCGGGATCATGAACTACGTTGGCAAAATTCTCGCAACGTACGCGAGGTGGACTGGCGTTGAGGAGGAGCTGTTGAGGAAGTACTGGGATTGATTTCATTCAAGGGCGTTTGGGGGGGATCATAAGAGCTGCAGCGTCTTGACGTGCGGTCGGTTGTCCATGTCATCTCATGTCATCTCACGCGAAGCAGGAAAAGGGTGCAGAACTTGAAGTGGAGGCAAAGGACAACCCAAGTTCGATGACCGAGCTTGGATGTCGAGAGAAGTATTTTAATAGGCAGAAGACTGATTGGGAGCCAGCTATTGCGACTCCTGGCCGACAGCTCCCATCATATAGATTGCGAGAGACATGGTATAGAAATGAGATTCTTGTAATGATCTACCAGGTCCGCAGGCCAAGCAGGTTGACCCTGGCGGAGGCAGGTTCGCCGAGTATCGTGCCAAGACACTCAGTATTGCTTGGCGTGTTTGCCTCCAGGTCTTCCCAGCAATCCGTCCACCCACCTTCTTACGAAATATCGAGGTGACTTCATTGGGGCATGGGTCGGTCGAGAGCATGCTCGGGTTCTGAGGCGTTGCTTTGATCTACATTTACCTTTCTGTCCGGCTAGATCTTCTCGCAAGGTTCTTCAGGCATGGCCGACAAAACCTCTCCTTCTCTGACGGCCGTGGCGGTCTCTTCTGTCATTCTTGGCCTGCTGGCAGGCTATTTCATAGGCCAGGGCTCCAGTATTGGTGTTTTTGGTGGTTCCGGAAGTGCGAACCAGGCAAAGAAAAGCTGGCCAAACAGCTACGACGTCAAAGTCCACGCCGACTCGAGCGACGACCAAGCAGACGACGAGGATGAAGCGGACGACGAAGACGAAGATGATGGGAAAGAGCTGAATGACTTCAAGGACTCAACGGAGGAGGTGAAGCTTGTTTTAGCAGTGAGGACAGACCTAGGCATGGGCAAGGGTAAGGAGATCCGGAATCGGTTGCCAGTTCCATTGACTGATTCTCTCGCAGGCAAGATTGCCGCACAATGCTCCCATGCGACTCTGGCGTGCTATAAATACCTACTCAACCATGTCACTTCGGCTCCTCTACTGAAACGTTGGGAATGGGGTGGACAGCCGAAGATTGCGGTGCAAGTCAAGTCTGAGGAGGAGTTGGAGACACTTCAGGCACAAGCTATTAGCTTGGGGCTCTGCGCAAGGATCATACACGACGCTGGCAGGACTCAAATCGCCGCCGGTAGTGCAACGGTACTGGGCATTCTCGGACCCAAGAGTGTGGTTGATCAGGTCACCGGTCACCTGAAACTCTTGTGATCGGAAGATATGAAGAGTCTGTTTGGAAGCCCTGCTGGGATGCCCAAGCATGAGCTTACCACAAAACGTCACAAAAGTTTCGATCGTTCTCCAGCATCAAATTTTGCCCTAAACACCCTACGCAAAACAGCAAAATTCAGCAGCTTCCAAGGCTTGAGAATAACAAAATCGGATGTATGTCTACCTCGTCCGTTCTCGATGCCCTCATATCTGATGTCAATCATTTGGTGTCTGACAAGATATCTTCAGTAGCAGTGATGGCCACAGACCCAGCATCAGCCAACGTGTCCTCCCGGTCGACGTCAGGCGAGAAGTCGGTGGTGATTTCGACCTTGACCTCTTCCAGGGGTGGGCTTTTCCCATCAAAGATCCGAACGGCTCCCCCTCTGCCTTGACGAATAGGCATGTCCGAACTCGATCATAGACTTCATATTTTACGACGTGGGAAGACCCGTGGGATCGTCTACCTTCTTCGAACTGCATATAGCAGCCACTCTACGAAAACACCCCTGTCAGCCTCGATCGCGAGATTTGCCAGTCCATAATGAGTCAGCATTTGACTGGACCAACGCTCGAGTCGACATTCTTCGGTGTGAGGAACAATAGACTCTACATCGGCATGGCAAGCGACGTCGCAGGACCTACAGGCAAATTCATGGTGACTTTTGCACGGCTTCCTGGCTGACACTTTGCCGCCGAATTCTAAGAACTGCGGCCCAATAATGCGAGACTTATATACTAGACCAGTCAAATAAGAACCCGCGGCTCAGGGACTGTTTGTTCCCCAGGGAACAAGTAAAATAGATCTGAGCTAGATGTCAGCACGAAAACGACAATCCAAGTCCAGGAGTTATATATCCTCATACATGTCCTTGGGTTAGAAAGCCCAATCAAATCAATCTGTATAAGTCAAGGCGGTACCAAATATTTCCTTTTTCTCGGGCCAAAGGGGGGGGGAAGTGATTGTTCAACGATTGAAATGGAATATTCGATGTCATTTTATGTCATGTATTCTCCTTCTTTACCTCTTGTATAAGTAGGTAGATGGGTAAGGTGCCACCGTCTCTTTATCCCTGACGAGTGCTCATTGCCTGTATTGTGTCTTTTCGACCCCCGTTTGAACAAAAGCACCATTACAAGAAATCTATACAGAGTCACGCTCTGAGCGTAGTGACATCTGGCTGGTTCTCAAACCCCTCCTGCGCCTACATTACGAATACTTCCGTGCCAATTCCTCGCTCCGCTTCTGGTACTTGTCGCGGTACCGGGTCAACAGGTCCAGGGAGATCTTGGAGCCGCCGCACACGACGATGACGACCTTGGAGGAGGGGGAGAATCCCTTGAGTAGCTTCTTCAGGCGGCCGTCGTAGGCGAGGGCGACGCTGGCACCGCATGCGGGTTCGACGAGGATGCGCTCGTCGTCCAGAAAGCGCCAGCAGGCGGCGCAGGCCTCGGCGTCGTCGAGCACCACCGAGGTGACAGCCGGGCGCTGACCCTGGCGAAAGGCGTTCTCGGCGACTCGGATGGCGCCCAGCGAGGTCGCGACCGACGTGATGGCTGGGAGGGTCACCAGCTCTTTCTGCTGCAGCGACTGGGCCAGCGAGTCGGCGCCCAACGTCTCCACCGGCAGCACCTGGACTTGGTCAGACCAGCCGACGCGGTCGAGGCCGTGCATGATGCCGGAGAACAAGCCGCCGCCACCCACGGAGCAGACGATGGCGTCGGGCTTGTCGTCGCCGTCAGGCATCTGCCTCTGGATCTCCTCGACCATGGTGCCCGCACCTTCCCAGATAAAAGGGTGGTCAAAGGGGTGGATGTAGATGCCCTTCTCCCCTTTGGCTTCTGCGGCGGGGATGACGACTTCCCGGAGGTGTTGGTCGGCGAAGAACCAGCTGTCGCCGTGGACAATGACCTCGCTGGCACCCGCGGCAAGCAACTTTGCTACCGTGGGTTCATCGGTGCTAGTGGGGACCACGACCGAGGACGCGTAACCCAGGGACGTCGCAGCCGTGACACAGGCGAGCCCGGCGTTGCCTCCGGAGGAGGAGTAGAAGTGCAGCGGTCGGTCATCTGACGGGGACTCTGATTGTTCTTGAATGCTCTTAAGCATCAAGTTGCCGATGCCCCGGGACTTGAATGACGACGAGGGCTGAAGGTTTTCGAGTTTGAGAAAGATGTGACTGTACAAACGAGCCATGGGTCAGCAACCAGTAAATCCGTGGGTGTATCGAAAGGAGGGACGTGGTTTTCTTTACCAGCCAGCGATTTTGGACAGGACTGTCGATTCGACCAAGGGCGTTTCGATCCACGGTTGTTTGACATGAGGCATGGTGTCGGCCCCGAGGTGGTTCCTCTCTATCATTGCAACTTCACTGTGTGTCTGTCGATTCAAACTGGAGATTAGAGCAGGCTGACACTGATATATTTCCCCCTTCAAGGTCCCGCGGACACTGAGCGATGCACAAATTGAACAAGGACTAGCCAGACGATCAGCAATAGAAAAAGCAGCAATAGAACAAGATATAAAAGAGGCGAGGGGTGGGTTGTAGTTGTGGAAGTGGTTGTGGCTACTTACGGCCAGCACCGGGAGGAAAGACCTTTTGTTACCCACCCCTTTTCCACTTTTTTCCTTCCTTTTTGCACTGTAGTTCCTCTATCTTTTGGAAATTCTTCTGTTCGATCGACAACGGGGGCCTTTCTTTCCGCCCGGGAATTGTTCTCGAGATCCACGCCTTGTTACAACAGACCCGACAACCACCAATAGGCATAAAGCTTATGTAAAGGCGGGTGGCACCTTACCAGGTTTGACGTAGGATCCGATGAGCTAAAAAGTATTACGCAATGAATCCCTGTGAAAAGATACTGGCTGGGTGGTACAAGGTAGTAATAGTTTGGGGATGGAATCCCTCCGTAGTAGGTGCATGGGTCCACGTGGACTGGACTGAGCCTTGTGACCACCTTTTGAGAATCAGAGAGACGAGGCGATGACATGAAGAGGAAGAAACCTGTGAGGAGAAGTCGATTGCTTTGGGAAACCGGCCCGCGCGCTATCTCCCTATCTATTGCATTTTTCTGATTGGCCAGCCTTGCCATCATTTTGTTGTAGGAGACTTCATCGCCAGCCGGAGATTCCCACGTAACGAGGCTAGAAATAACGCCGCCGATTTTTCTCTCCATGAAGCTTCTACAGATCCTGGAAGTTTTCTACATAGCGAAGTTTCAAAAGGGTGAAAAGGCAAGCGGATAGTGGAGTGTCTATTTCCTTTTTTCCGACAAATCTCCTCGTATGGCTCAGGCCGATAATAATGACAATGGGGCAAGTCCTTCTGAGCGACTCGCGTTCTGTACGCTGGGCATGTTGATTATTGGTCCGCTATACCCCCTCCCTCTTCCCCTGGTGTGGCGTCTTCTGCACGTTATTTGTTTAGCTTGGTGCTGTACTCGTACCAGATGTATATATCTTACCAGCTAATCCACTCATATGCCCTCCGAAAGTACAGACAAGATCGAATACCTCGATAGTCCCAGCAACACCACGCAGAAAGCGCAGGAGAGAATAATCGGCGGCGCAGGCACGTATGCGGCGCTCGGGGCGCGCCTCGCCGCGGGCAGCCTCCACGCCTCGTCGGTGGGCTGGATCGTCGACATGGGGTCCGACTTCCCCGCGGAGTTTCGCACGGCGATCGAGACGTGGCACACGAGCTGCGTGTTCCGCTTCGACGGGTCTCGCCTGACGACCACGGCGTGGAACGGCTACGGGCCCAACGAGTTCCGCGCGTTCAAGTACCTGACGCCCAAGCGGCGGCTGGACCAGCACTCGCTGTCCAACGGGCAGGTGCTCGCCCGCGCGTTCCACATGGTCTGCTCCCCCGCGCGGTGCATGGCGCTGGTCCAGGGTATTCTGGCTCGGCGACGGAAGCTTCTCTCGGAGAGTGACAGTGACAGTGACAGCGACAGGGACAGGCCGATCTTCGTCTGGGAGCCCATCCCGGACCTGTGCACGCCCGAGGAACTGTCGCGGCTGCGCGAGGCCGCTACGTGCGTCGACGTCGTGAGCCCCAACGCCGACGAGTTCGCGTCCTTTTTCAAGGAAATGCCCGATTTTTCCTCCCGGGAACGGATGGTCGAGGCGCTCCTCGGGCTAGACAACCGACAACAAGGCCGAGGGCAGAAGCAGAATCCGCTAAAAACGGCCCTGGTGGTCAGAGAAGGCGCCCACGGATGCACCACGTACGCCGGGAGCACAAAGGGTCTACATCTCCCGGCATATCACCAAAGTAAAGCAAAAGTCGTGGATCCGACCGGTGGGGGGAACACGTTCTTGGGAGCGTTGGCCATGGCCATGACGGGCACCACGACCCCTCCTCCCGAAGAGGCTTCTCTCAAAGAACTAGAGGTCCCCGAAGGCTCTGTATTTGGTGGGGAGAATAGGCTTTTCTTCGCACTGCTTCACGCCACCGTCGCGGCTGGGTATGCAATTGAGCAAGTGGGGATGCCTAGTGTATCGACGGAAGACGGTGACTGTTGGAATGGAGAGGCATATCCAGAGCGTTTCCGTAACTACGTAAAACGAGAGAGAGATCACATAGCCGTTCAACTCTCAAGCTCATGCAGCTGAACATACACTGCCGAAAGAAGTATGTCCAAGTCTCGTAAGTGTCATTGATTTGTCAATGAAGACCTTGAACTAGCTGTTCCTGCAAGACCGGTCGAGCACGGCAGGGTTCCTTTCATGTTTGACGCGGTGTGATATGTACAGCTTTATAATTCTTGTGCTGCCTCCCTAATGTCTTGATACTCTGCAGTGGGCCTCTTTCATTGCTGCTTGTTCTCTCCTCCGGCGCTCGCACAGTCGTCACAACCCAGCCAAATGCGCGCCGTGCCTCAAGTATTCTGAAAGTATGTACAATGGAGCAGTACCTTCTTGCTCAAGAGAGAAAATGGCTGGATTCGCTCGACGTTCATTTTGTGTTGGTAGGGTAATTTGGAAGACCGGTTCGTGGTTTATTGGCCCTTCTGCGCCTTTTCGTGCTCGATTATCTGTTTGCTCCAACTGCAAACCGGTCAGCAAAAGTCCCCAGCGCTACTGAAAAAAACGATCCAAGGCATCTCCATCAAAAACAACCTCTTCCGACAACCCCTCCCACACTCCCACCCAAACGTATCAAACCAACCAACCAACTGGTGCTCGGGATCGAACTTACTACCGACTCGGAAAAAACACGCCCTTCTCTGGCATCTTGGTCCGGACTTCCCTGTTCGCCGAGACTCTCCAGGCAAGTCCGGCGCACGCGGCAATGACCACGCCCATGACGAGCGTGTTGGCTCGCCAGTTGTGAGGTTGTGCGTACCACCCACCGGCGGGGGACCAGACGTGCTTCGGGTAAGCGACTTTGCCGCCTCCGCCCATCGTTGTTGTGGGGTCTTGTGAGAGTCGCGGCGGAGAGGATGAGGATCGATATGGAGGGTGAGGAGAGGAAGGTAAAGTAGGTGAGATGGTGAATGAGCTTGAGAGGGAGAAAGGGACTCGATCGAGGTGCCGTGCAGTGCAGTTTCAAAGGCCCAACTGTGATTGGCCGCCGAGAGCTTCATCGGCATACTTGCCTCTTCTAGCGCATTGTATGTCTATCTACCGAGCACCAATTTCTTGCCTACAACTTGACCACGATTTTGCTTGCAGAAACTCCCTGTTTCAACCTGTCAATCCCACTTTGAATGCTATCCAACCCTTCACCGATGACATTTGCGCGGGGCGCAGGTTTGTATTGGCCGCTCGCCAACGCAGCCGGAAGAAAATCCTTCCAGAGAGCTTTGCCGACGTCTGTGTCTGGCACCAATCCTGCCAGCACTGACGTTACATTAGTAGACTTTCTCCAGACGTATCGTTAGACGATGACTTACTTTGTTTGGCCGTGACACCTTGCGGCAGCTCCGCCGGTGGCTGCCCTGCTGTAGCGATCAAACCGCCTCCAATTCGTGAGAGAATTTCAGCAACCTTCCGAGTGCTGTCTTCCGCACCGAAGGCTGAAGTAGATGTTAGTTGTGTTACAATATCGGCTAAGTTCACTTCCACGCTTACCATCGAAAGCGCCGAGCAGGCTACTACCCTCCAGCCTGGTTGCCAGCTTTTCAACAATATTCTCATCAGCATGATCAAATACCTCCGCTGCGCCAATGGACTTGCAATAGTCGAAGTTTCTTGGAGACGCCGTTGCAACGACGTTGACCCCGGAGGCAGCAGCAAGCTGGATGACTGCACTGCCCACACTTGAACTGCCACTCCAGACTAGGAGAGTCTTGTCCGTCTTCTCGTGGCTGTTCTGCGGAAGCCGCAAACCCAGGAAGCCATCTTGGTAGAGTCCTCCGACGGCGGTGGAGAAAGCCATCGGTATTACAGCAGCATCCTCATAACTCAGACTTTGTGGGATAGCTGCTGCGGCATGTGTTGGGATGACGGTATATGCTTGGAACGCCCAACCCTCAGACTTTCCGGTTATGAACCCTAGGGCGTGTGCTGTGACGCGTGCTGCAGGCTCGAACTCAGTCACTCCATTGCCCACTTCGACCACCTCTCCGGCGATATCATGTCCAAGAATTGCGGGCCAATTTTGAATGAACAGGCCCAGATCTTGGACCAGGATATCAATTGGGTTTATTGCAACGGCATGGTTTTTGACCAGAATCTCTCCGGGGCCAGGCCTCCCAATGCTGGCGGGTCCCACTCTGAGACGTTGTCGTGGTCCGTCGAGGAACGCCGCGCTGTTCTCGAGAGTCATTTTCATCTATCTACTTTGAATCGAAATAAACCAGATCGACTCTCTGATGCTGCAGAGATGGGAGATGGCGATTGATGGCCAAGTCAAAACGGCAGCCTGATTCGACATTGACTTGTCCCTGGACTGCCAAGCCGCTAATAGACGAGACAGGGAATGCAACTGCATAAAAGAGACTGACCCGAGACGGTGCTTCGGCACAAGACTTTCAGGGTATGTTCCTGGTCAGTCTCTCACGGTATATCGGGCTTCAAAAGTCGAACGACCTCATCGGTGTTGACCCATCCTGGATGTATTGATCGAGAATACCCTGCGACGACTTGGTTAGCAACGACAACAGACCATTGGAAAGGGGAAGACAGAACTAACCCAGTCAATCATGTCTGAATCGCTAAAGAACACGTCCAGAAGCTCCCGGGATGCAGGATCGTGGATCACTCCAAGCACATCATCAGGCAGGGGTATCGTAGGGTTATCCAATGGCAAGGGGTTGTGTCCTGCACCACTCTGGTTCGTGCTTACAGTCCTTGGGGAGTCCAACTTTACCTGCGACAGTGGCTGAACTATATCTGCAGTTGCGCTGTGAATTCCAGTCACTTCTTCCTTCTTTTGGGGTCCTGGCCTGGGGATCTTTGGGAGCATGATGGCGAGAATATTCGATGCTCGCCTAGCATCTGACGAGGTTAGTGTTTGTGATTGCCAAATATCGTGCGAGACTTTCAGAGCATCGTATCTCATCCTTTGCGCATCCAAGTCCAGTGTTGGCATGGTATCTGTGCCGGTCTGCCGGTGAGATTCATATAGGTCAAGACAAGTAATCATAGCTGCCAACAGGAAATCATGGTGTGCCAGATTCGCCGACGTCCACTGACTGTTGTGCAACAGACCTCCGGGCCGGGTGGCTCGGTCAACCTCAGCTTGATATTGCAGCATCTGAAAGCTGGCGCCGATGCAGGCACTCCGTGAATATTGAAATGCAGGGTTCGTCCTATCGTGACTCAGATACCTCCTGTGAAGGATCATCATGCCCTTTTGATAGACCAGCTCGACGTTGAGCCGGTGCACTATTGTGTGAGTCTCGTCGGTGATGGAAGACCCGAGCGGCCTCCATCTAAGGCTCGGCGGGATTCCAGCACGAATCTTACGGAGTTCGTCGTCCAAGCTCAAGACATCCGCATAGGCTGGAAATCTCGGTGACAGAGCCTGCTGCGCCACCTTTCTGAATGCCTGCGCTAGATGGCCTTTGTAGCAGTAGTAAAGCATCGGCGTCGGGTCCGTGGGCGGCCGCGATGGAGGAATTGTCGTAGAATATTCGTCAAAGTCTTCGTCGAACAGATTGCCTGGCGGTGCGGTGTCACAGTCCTCCTCGTGGATAATGGCTGGCAGTCCTGCCTGAAAGGACAAGAGTAGTTCAAAGGTCTGCACCGTAGAGAAGACTCTCCGGCGCATTTCGCCCTCGAACGGCGAAATGTGAGCAAGATGACTCGGGTCTCGGTGGTATCCCATTCTCAAAGCAAGACGGGCAGCCACGCCCATCAACAGCCAAGGCTCAGTCTCGGAAGCCCCTCGCTGAAAGAACCTGCTGATGGCATAGAGCAGCATAGCTTCGACGCTGTAGGGACGAGCCTTCTGGTAATGACCAGCGACCAAAGCTCGACCCGCGTTCGTGAAGAACAGGCCCGAAGCTCCTTTGAGGCACTGAAAAAAGTCTGTCTCTTCGGGTCGTGCAATCCGAGAGCCCAGATGGATGAGCGAGAAAAGCATCGAAATCCAAAGGAAAGAGGCTGATGAGGGATCGTTCCAGAATGATTCGTACTGCTAGTCATCAATGTCCCCTATCTTCCAATGCCAGTGGTCTTAAGGTGAGACTTACCTCTCGCAAAAACTTTTGCCTGTGTATAAATGCTGCAACGGTAAGCCAAGTTTCTACAACAAACCAACGAAGAGCGCTCACGGATATGTAGAAATCGCGCATGAAACTGCTCTGAAAGTAACTTGTCCACCACGGCTCGGGGAGGCAGAGAAGTGCAAACTTCAGCCACGGTCAGAGGCTGTAAATCGGACAGGACAATGTCAGGGTCGTTCCTGTATGTCGAGAAGTCCCCGTCCTCTGCCTCTTCTGGTTCCGGCGCAAGACATTCCTGAATATCTTTAATCTGTGCACGGTGAGGCTGACGACCCGGTCAAGAGCAACGATGTACAAACAAACATTTTCTAGGATCGCAGCCCAATGAGTAGGCCCGAGGTATCTGGTTTCAACACCTCTGATAGCCAGATGACCGTTCGGCAGCGAGCATGTTGCCGCTGACGAAGCGTCCGTCGCCAAGGACGCTGGAACTGTGTCGGAGCGTACGCTCGTCGACAGTGTCTGGAGACTATTGTCAGAATGAGGAGGCGTTGCCTGTCCACTCTGCCCATGTGTGCTCTCATTTGCCTGCATCAACGTCGTCACCATTACCTCGAGTTTCTGCAGCCGAGACTGGGCCCTGGATATATTGTCTCCATTGTCAAGGCTGACATTGCGATCAGGAGCAGAGACGCCAGAAGGGTTGGCAGAGAAGCCGTTGGTCTGATGCTTGCGTTTGGCTGCTTGACCGGCCCGTCTAGGGGTATTTGGTTTAATGATCCGGAACACAGTTTGATACTGAGACAAGTTAGACATGTCCTGGGGTGCACGACTAGGATCAATCGGTCCGGTCTAATCAATTGGAGGCTGCAGATGGAGAATGCGAGACTGCTGGTTGATACACATCGAGATATCTTGATCTACATATGTTGAGGTCAGTGATCGACCGTAAAATACGGTGAAGCGCAGAAGCTCTTGGCGTATGATCTCTTCCAGTCTCTCCAGGTCGGGACTCGTCACTTCACGAAAGCAGGACATTGCGCATCTTCTCGGGTCACAGAGAATATGTCTTGTGATTAAGTATTGCTAAAGGAGTGTCTACTAAATCATACAACACAGAACGCCAGTCGCTAATGCTGATAAGAAAACACAAAAACGCCAATCGCTATGCAACTCAAGTAACAAAAGATCCGTCCCATGCAAACAATTTGCCAGTGGCAGCCAACCCTTCATGACTCTCTGTTCTGTCGTGCCAGCCCCCGCCCGTATATTTCCCCACCATTCATAGCTCATTCATTTACAGCTTTTGGGCAACAAAGGTAGGGTCGCAGACGATGTCGCCGACCTCGCTCGGGGTCTCCAGGGTCCAGGCACCTTTGTCGGCGTCGGAGAAGGTGATGTCTCGGTTCGCGCCTCTGAGGACAATGAGGGGGTTGCCGTGGATATCGAGGATTTGGCAGCGGTAATCCTGCTTTTCGACCAACGATCCGACGGAGAGCTCGACGGTTTCAAAGGGACCGCTGGTGGCGACGGGAGCCGACTCGGCGCGGTAGCCCGCAGGCAGGGATGTCTGCGAGCCGGTCTCGGTGGATTGGCTTTGGAGGATGACGCGCAAGTTGAGTTCATCCGAGGCCGGGTCGATCTTCACGAAAGAAGGGTCGCAAACAACCTCGCTGACATAGCTGGACTCGCGGAAGGTCCAGGCGCCCTTGTCGGCATCGGAGAAGGTGGTGTCAATGTTGGCGCCGCGTGTGGCCACAATGGGATTTCCGTAGTTGTCAAGAGCCTGGCAACGGAGCTCCTTGTTCTGGACGTCCTCGCCGAGTCGGATCTCGATCGAGTTGAAAGGTCCGCTGATGGCCGGGGCGGCCATGTCCCTGACATTGGACTTGAGGTTCACCTGGGCGCCGGTTTCACCTCCATCGCTCAGGGCAACGTTGACCTTGTCGTCGTAGTTGCGACGGCTGTGAGGAGCAGCAAAAGCACCGGTAGCGGCGAGGAGAGAGAGAACGATGGCCTTGGAATGCATTTTTCGGATTATGTTGTTTTGTTGTTGAGTTGAAAAGCTTTGGGGATTAGATATTTTCTTATTGGCTGCTAGAAAGAATGAATGTAGAGCAGTTGGGCTCAAAGAATGTAGGGAAAGAATGAAGGAAAGGAAATAAAAAAAATAAGGAAAGGTAGTAAGTTGGTTGGTTTGTTGTTTGTCTGTGTTGTATGAGGAGAGGAATCGTATGACTGGTGAGGAACTCATGGCATCTTTATACCCATTCCACCCCACCACAGATGTCCCTTCTTAAAGGACAGTATGGTGTATTCCGCATATACGAAGTAAGACCGATTCCTCGGATGAACCAGTCGTCAGTATCCACTAGAACCACTGGGAGAATTACACACCTGTCCAAATCGGGAGATGCGTATATACTGCGCCTGGGAAGCGCGGCGTGACAAAGCGCTCGCCAAGGCGACTATGTCGATTGGCTCGATGGCGGAATGGTAGTCACTATACCCAATATCGCCTGAACGAGCCCAAATCACCCAATGCCCTTATAGCAGCACCGCCGAAAGACCCATTCGTCCACAGTAGTCGCAGGTCTAGGATTCCGCTCGGTCGGTCTTGGCTTCTAGAAGTGCTTACTATATCAAGCTCCCAATAATAGATACAGACAGGTACACAAGCCTTGCGGGAGCCAAGACTCCCCGCCGCGAGATTTTGGCCAACACAGCAGGGTTTAATAATGCTGTGGCGGGTTCGGCGGGTTTGGCGAACAGGAACAGACAGACACTGTCAGCATTTACCGTGGAGCCGCGTTAGCGAGGTAGTACCTGTGGACCAAAGACAAGCAAGGATTCTTTTTGCTTGCCTCTTCGTCCGTATGCCCAAACTGGAGCTATTCGACATCAGCCACGGCCCGCTCGCAGTAATATCCCCTTTCCTAGATTCGGGGTTTCCCCCTCTTCGATTGCTCTCGTGGAATTTCCTAGAAGAAGTGGCTGTTACTGTGCCCCTTCCACCAGCCATTTCAATTCGACTGCCCTACATTCTGGTTGTAGACTGTCCGGCGAGTCCGGCTTGGATGTATCTCTGCATATCGCCCTCGGCAGACAGACTGAATTCTCAATTCTGCATTTTAACGCATTGCTCAATTGGGTAGCAGTCTCTTCTCTGCACCTGTGGGCCTCGTTGTTGTGACTTCATTGCCAAGTCGGATTATCTCACCTCATCGTAACTCAATAGCTTTGATCCTGATAGCCAACAGCCGAAAAGCCGTCAAGCTTCGCGGATTAATGTGGAATATGGCACGTCGGCAATATCAGTAGCAGTGGTGAACGGAATATTGCCGGCCTGAAAAGCTGTGTGAAATATGTTCTCATTCCTGGTTGTGGGTCGGTTATTGCTGCGACATCCTCTCTCTTTGACCCACCTGAAGCCAGCCAGCAAGCCAGCGCGAGCCTGCGATCCTGAGGCTCACTCGTGACAGACAAGTTGTGCGGACCACGCACTATTTCACTCCAATACCCAACAGGGGCTGCCGAACCTCGCCAATATGACGGATGACGATCTCAACATGGTTGTCCATTGGGACTTTTCAGCTGCTAGATCTGTAAAGGCATTTATTAGGTGTGCAGGGTGGGGAATCTCTAGTGAGATGAGATAGACTGCAGATGTCCTTTGTGGCCTGATAAATTGCGCGTGAGAGGGAGTATAACAGCTGAAGGGTTAAACCAGTTCCATCTGATGACAGGCACCGCTTTGTGCAGCAGTTTGGCCCCGGCAAGAGGCGAATTAAGAAGGTACTTTTGCAGCCGGGCAACAGACCAATAATGTGTGTGCCTGTCTTACCAATACCGCCAGCGAGGCAGACAGCCATGATGATTGTTGGAACCTCTCAAGACGGCCATGGCTCTGAGCTGATGCTCATCCTGTAAATCCCCATTCTGGAAGAACTTGGCGTCTACATTGGCATGGAGATCTTGTCTTCAACTTGTCATATGTTCAAGCCGCAAAGGTATAGATGCCTGCCACGGCGATGATAACTTGTAGATTGAGAAAACATGTTTTGTCAGAGAATGAGGTGGAAAGGAAACAGAGATCAGGGACGCACAGAACGACGGCCTCTTCAGGCTCGGCTGCCAAGACAAAATATGATTGGCTGATGTCTCTCCAGCCGAATTTCCTTTCGCGTTCAACTTTCCGTGGTCTCGTGTCGCAGGAGAAAAAGTCTCTTGCACCGTCGATTTCGCTGGCACCCAGCGCTCAATCACCCTCAGGGTTTCTATTCCATCAACCTTGTCGAGAGCACTGCGCAGTCACTCCAGAGTTTACAAAAGGCTCTTTCAATTCTCATGAAGAGGTCGAGGCTCCTGAGATGGAGCGGCACTGTACTCTCACCTCGAACGAGACCAGAACCTCTTCAATGTCAGTTCCACCTCCATCGGCGGTTCCAAGCGACTGCCGCTGCGCCCTCAGAACCCGAAAATGAATCTCTCCATCCGGTCATAGATGGACCGTACCTGTCGGAAGAAGAACTCATGAAGCTACCCTCACCTCCGGTTGCTGCTGCGAAAACGTCTGCCAAACTAGCTGCCTTGCATGCTCGGCTTGCCCTACCGTCTCGATTTCCCCTCGAAACTCTGGCACGAACCCTCATTGACGACTCGGCGGATCGCTCTATGCGGTTCAACAACAAAGCATTTGCTCTGCTTGGGAATGATTTGTTGGGTTTCTACACCTCCGAATACATTATAAGTCAATACCCAAGGTTACCACTCGCCGTCATATACGCGGCCATGTACGCATATCATGGTCCGGCGACGTTGACGCAGATGACCAGAGAATGGGGTGTGGAAGCTGCGGCGGAACCTGGAGGGGAGGTTGACCCAGGTCTGTTGCAGTTCAAGAGAATGCCGCCGGAACAAGCTCTTGGAGTCGGAGACGGAGCTTCAGGATCAAGCAGCAGCAATAGTGATCCGAGAGCAAAATGGACGCGGAGTTTAAGCGCCAAGTCGGTACACAACGATCAGTTTGGTGAACTGCCAGAACGTCCAATTCCGGCAGAAGATTTGGCCTCGAAAGGCGTTACTCTACAACGAGCCAGCACAAACTTTGTGAGAGCGGTGATTGGTGCAGTATATCTGCATGCTGGAAGAGCAGCCGCGAAGAAATTCTACAGTGACCACTTCATGTCTCGACAATTGGACATGTCGAGTCTGTTCCAGTTCAAGAACCCCACCCGAGATTTGAGTCGACTATGTGGAAGAGAAGGATTCCAGGCACCTGTGGCCAAGATTTTGAGTGAAACTGGTCGGAAGAGCAGGACCCCTGTCTTTGTGGTGGGAATATATTCAGGCAGTGACCTGTTAGGAGAAGGTGCAGGGGCCAGCTTGGACGAAGCGAGAACACGAGCAGCTGTCGCAGCGCTCAAGGGGTGGTATCTCTACAGCCCGACCGAATTTCGACTGCCCAGCGAAATGGAAGAGCCCGGAGCCAAACCCTGGAACCCGATTTTGGTGGATGCAGGCGAAGTTGTCGGCTAGTGTCTGCTCGAGGCTTTTTGCTCTTGCGGCCTTTTGTCGTCGAGGCTCAATGTACTTTTATGACAGCTTGAACAAAAATTCTACTGGGACATATGTAAGCATTACCAGGCGCCTGGAGGAGCTATAGTGCGCAAGGCAGCCATTACGGGGTTGCGCAGACCTATGTACAGGCAAACTGTCACCAAATCTTACTCTCCAAACATCTTTCATTTGACTTTAGCTGTCAGTGATAGTCCTGCAATATGCCGAGGGCTTTTCTTAAGTCGAATTTCACGGCTCAAGGCGCAGGACGCTGCCGCTAGCTAAAAGGCAGGGAACAATGGGGCTGAATGTTTCGTGTGTGCTGCCTGAGAAGCGGTGAACAGCTTGATGATCGTGTAACTCATGTTCATGGGCTGCGGGAGTTTTGGGAATATTGTGCTGGCTCATCCCTCACGCAAGGACTTGAAAGAACGGGTCGGGACCCGGGTTGTTGTATATACAGGGCTCACCAGATCTTCGTGAACAAGACCCCTGGGTACTTGGGATTTGACACATACTACCGGCCAATGAGGAGCACAGCCATTCACGGTTTGGCGGGCTTGGCGACCATCGTGATGACGTCGGCTGGTGGGAGGCCTTTTCCTCCTCATTACCAACAGAGGCGAAGTTGAGCGACAATCAAGGGATCCAGAGGCTACCTAACACTACTCTCAGGCAATCTCAAGGGATGTCGGCGCTCCCCAGAAAATCGGGCGTCCCGCTCTCTTTGGGGATCAGCCAAAAAAGCGAAAACGACGAGGGAACTTTGAACAACACAAAGTTCTTTGATTCATCGCCCCAGCTTGCGCCACACCCAAACTACAGGAGGGCAGCGCGTCTCCACGAATCATGTTCAGACTTGGACCACAACCACCAGAACCACCGAGGACGGAGTTTCAGGAAGCTGATCAGGGAAACCTAGTACCAGAAAGTTCAGAGGGGTTTGAGTAAGAGGCGAGAATCCCCGCTCTCCCGCCTGCTTCACTCAGATCCAGAACCTTGGTTGGCGCATGACTGGCGCTTGTGACTTGGAACAGTTCGAACCCCCCAGCCTCTTCGAACATTCCACGAACCGGTATTTAGCCTCGCTAGGCAGTCATGGCAGTCCTTTCAATACCGTCCAAGGTCCTTTGCCTCTTGTGACGGATCAACATCCGACAACATGTGGTTCCTATTCTTGTTATAAGTCTTCCTACCAACTCCGGCTCTCGTGAACCTGATTTTCCCCATCTTCATCTCTACCGAGAGCACAACTCATAAGCCCCCCCACGATGGCAGCCGCAGAGTATTTTACATCAAGCTCCAGGCCTCCGCTGGAACAACACAACAATGGGCCATATGTGCCTCCACAACCTCAGAGAGTACACTCCTCGCAGGCTGGGTTCAATTATCAACCAGGTCAAACGAGCCATCTCAGTCCACAGTTTGGTGTTCAACCGCCTTCTCCATATGGTCCACCTCCCCATGCTCCTCCTCCTGCCTACCAATCTATCAATAATGAACCGAAAGTCCACTTCGCTCCATCATCTGTAGGGGCTGGACAGCATCGACCTTCCTTTTCAAGCCAAACAACATACCCTCTCAATCAACCCAACTTCCAAGCCAACCCCGGGCAGCAATTGTCTCCATATCCTCCAGGTCCATACGTACCTCAGGCCTACCAACAGCCTTATGGACTACCTCACAATCGCCCACAGCACAGACCGTCGCACAATGACCCCTCTGGCTCTGGCTATTCCTCAGATCCTGAGCCTAACAGAAGAAAGCACAAGGAGCGAAGCCGCCGCATATCGGATCACTCGCGATCGACCGCGGCCGACGGGTTTCTCGGTGCCGCTGGTGGCGGGCTGATAGGCGATTTGCTTTTCCCGGGGCTCGGGACCGTGGGTGGCGCATTAGTGGGATGGGTCGGTGGTAAGGACTATGGAAAACACAGGAAATGGCGAGAGGAAAAGAGGGAGCGCGAGCAGGAACGCTGGGAGAAGGAATACCGCAGGAAAAACAGCCACAGTCGTTCGCGAAGTCAAAGTCGGGACGTGGATTCGCACGAGCGGGGCCACAGTCATGGCCGTCATGACGGACGGCGGCACAGTCACGAAAGACACAAGGGCTATGATTGAGACGGGTTTGCAATACACACGGACAGGAATTATTCAGGGAGGCAACTCTGGCATTTTTGGGGGTTCTATTCACGATATTATGTGTCATTATAGAAAATGGGATCCAGGTGATGATGGATGACACATCACCGATGAGTTTACGAATCAAGTCGAGTTGTTCATGACTCCAGGAGATATCGCTACCTCCGAAACGGCTGGACCATTCCGGGGCGGACAAGGATCTTTGTTCAAGGCTGTTCAAGGCAGTGAGGAATTCGTTCGTGGTTTGTGGTTTTAGTGATTTTGTGGTCGTGTGATGTGTATGAGATCTTGTCATGTTTTCCACGAATCAAAGACGGTGCAAGCCCCAGTTGCGATGACCATGCACCCCAGATCCGCCGCAGGTGGCGAATCTGACGATGTACTTGACACCTCGTACATATCGTGCGAGCCGCGTATTTGTTGGACTCGATTACCTACGATAACTACGAGTAGATCCCACCCGTGACGTTAACGTCAGGTGGCCGAATCCAGCCTGTTGAGCCTCTCCGTCCATGTGTCCATGTGCAATCGACAAGGACAGGTATCGCACTCCGACAAGGTGGAAGTGCATATCTACCTGGGCACCTAGAATTGCCCACGACGTGTCCTCCACAAACAAACCCACATTTTATTCATGGTCCGCATTTTCCCTGCCTGCCTATTGCTCCATGGGAGAAGCTGGCCCTGGTGGAGGCCACGAAGATTCCCCTCCCTCCTCCCTCCTCGAACCATCTACCGAGTACACATAGTTCAAAGTGCGCCTTACCTCTTGGCATTTAGGTACCAACCTACTCGTGGAGTCGTACAAGTAGTGTCTCTTTCAGCCTCACGAATCTTTTCTTGTGGACCTCCGTTGACACCGACCCGATTCCCAAGCACGAGTGCATACGGAGTACCTGCTCGTTGTGTTTTACCTTGCGTTAGGGCCAAGGCAATCTTGATGCGCATGGAACCGACTAACTAATCAATTGCGGTCTTTGCGGTATGGATATAGCTAGGTAGGTACCAGGTACGGTACTACCTAGGCTACCGTGGTAGGTATGTACTTATACGTACCGTGTAGAGTCTGCCTGGCGTCGTTGTCGACAGCATGTACGAGGACATGTGGGCCATGCCTGTTACCTTTTGCATTGAAATGCACTGCCGTCCCCCTTTTCCCGCGTCGGTCCTCGCTGGTAACATCCGAACAAAAGTCTCACAAAAGTTTTGTGTGGGAAAGCTTCCCGCCCTCGCGCGCCAGGCGAAAAGGACTACCACCACCCGCCCGACAAAAAGTCCAAAGTCCCCACGTGGCACATGCGTCTATGACACTGGCATACTCGTAGATTGCTTTTTTGGTGGGTTCGCGAGCCTCAAGTTCTTTTCATATCAGTGCCAACGTCGAACGCGTCGCAGGGCTGGTGGAGGGAGCATTTTGTTGTACTAGTACGACGAAGAAAAGAGATGCATGAGTTAGCCTGGATGCGAGAGGGAGTTATAATGTTGGGAGTCCTTCACAACTGGCGTTGGCGAGCCACCCGCGCTCTCACAGCTCTCAGCGCTGCACAGCATCACCCAGTTCTGGCAGAGCGTGTTTGGTGCTGAGCCTGGTTGTCAAAGACCTTGGACGTTTCAGCGGTTCGTGAAGGCCTCGCCAATCTCTCGACTTGAGCGAGCATCGTGAAATTATATGCAGGACCTCACAACTGAGGATATTGACGAGGTACATATTGTAGCTTCGTCGACAAACGAGGGTTTCGAACGAGTGGACAACGTGGAAGGTGATGTAAGTCAATTTGTAATGACGAACCACAGCAAGTTTTTGCCAAGACATTAGTATCTCAGACTTTCCTGGTTCCACAAGGCAACCTGACAGCCTCACAACCTGGTGATCAAACGTGTATCCATTTCTTGATGTCAACGCGCCCCCTATCTGCGAATATCTCAGCCTGTCACCCGCTGGCCCTCGTGATTTGCTTCAGTAAATCAAAATGTTGATGCCTCGGAAGCACATGCGTCGTGGCGGAGACACGACCTCAGACCCCAACCATGGTGTACGGCATAGACGTGGACGACCTATGAAACGAGTAAACCAGCTCAAGCCTTCTCGCACAGCTCGAACCCTACGAGCCAACCTTATCCGCGAACAGCTCACAGGAGAGATCGAACCTCGAAAGAAAGTATCCGCTCTCGAATCACTGCCAGTTGAGATCATCGAGCAGATCTTTTTCCATTGCTTGGAGTTGAATCTCCCTAGGGCATCGGTACATCTAGCCAGAGCTCTGTCCAGACCTTCCGTCTATTCCGTACTGGTCCTATTCGCCTTTTTTGAAGCAGATGAAACGAGTCACGTGGAGACTCGCCACTTCTCGCCTGCAACTTTCAGATTGATTGGATTCGACGAACAGCGACGTCTACAGGAAGCCATATTGGTCACCAGATGGTGCACTCCCGAATTTCTCCAGTTTTGCGTCCCGGCGCTGAACAGATTGGCCATGGTCCGACACTGGCACCGTGAAAGAGAGCTGTTGACGGCTGCAAGATCTGCAGGGATCCTCTGGACGCGAGGTGGTCAATCTGCCCAGCTTCCCGACCTCGATATCCTTCTCCCAGCGATTGACGATGAAATCGGCATACAAGAGTACTTCGGCTTGGGGTTAGCCATTCCAGACATACATTGGCTTGGGGCAGTGACATATGATAGCATAAATACATCACCCTCCCTATTCATCAAGACTACGTATCTCTCAGATCTCCCGGTCCGGTCTCAGCCACAACCTAAAGAGGTCTGGCTCGAGCGTGTGATGGAGAGTGTACTCGCAGTACACACCATTCCAGAACACCTCGTGCGCCGAAAAACATGGACGTACAGGGATGTCGGACTCCTCCGACTGTTGCTCCGAGCCCTGGACATCAGAGATAGCAGCCTGCCGGATAACAAGGACTGGGGTCCCATCCGGAGGGGTCCTTCGCCGCAAGCAACATTCGAGGGCATGGCGAATGCCGTCCGAGAGGGTAACAGAATGGCTCTTGAAGTGCTGATCGACGTATATAACTCGATCGTGAAGCTTGAATACCCGAACCAGCCACTGCCGTTGCGACTATTCCACCTGGTATGCGAAAGAGGACAAGACCCCACGAAAGGGACAGACCTGCAAGGAAGCATAATTTCCCTCCTACTGGACAACGCCGCCGAGCAAGTCCCCGCGGATGACGAGATCCTCACGCGCTGGGCTATCCACGTGACGAACCCGGCCGCCACAACAAAGCATCATGACATTACCGTCGCTACTGCAACCAGGTTGCTCCAACACATGGAGGACCAAGGGCGGCCGTCGAACGATTTGGCCGATCATGCCGTTAGTGCTTGAAACGATGGTCGCTGATCCGCAGCCTCTTTTACCGAGGAGATCGAGTGTCTCGAACGCACAAGCACTGAAGTGTGATATATCCTAGGTTCAAACCAGGAGACGGCCATTGTTGCTGGTGAATTGAAGAAAGACATTTTACGAAATATTGTCGGAAATTTCCTCCCCAAATCTCGCTAGCCAGGACATGAGAAAGCTCTTCGATGCTCACTATTTACTACTCAGGCCGATGTTGAATGCAACTCCCCAAGTGATTTCATGCGCAGCCAAGTCTACCGTCAACCTTTGATCTATACTCCGCGTCCGGGACTGTTGAAGCCCAACTCGTTCATGCGGTCCCCGTCAAAAGGCCCCTCTCGACCAGACGTGATCCTCGACGTCCCGGTCCAAGCAAGTTCTGCCGAGTATCGACAATCTCTTGGATTCTCCCAATTACGGCTCCCCAGGCCAGATGCGATCCGCAATCCTCCTCACCAACTTCAACTTGTCGACCATATCCGCTCTCTTGACTGCGTTACCGCTCGAATGGCTCGCAAACCCGCACTGCGGACTGACACCACACCTGTTGAGAGCTTCTTTCTCACTCTCCCCCGTACCCTTGCACATCCAGCCGGCAGCCTCTTTGATCCGCTTCACCATCTCCTCCTCGTCCTCCATCTTGGGAAATTTACTTGTCACCACACCCAGAATGACGTTCTTGTTCTTGGGCAGGTGCTGCAGCGGTTCAAAGCCGCCAGCCCGCGGAGTGTCGTATTCCAGGTAATACGTATGCATGTTGAGCTTCTGGAAGAGTAGGGTGGCGATACGGTCGTAGCCACCCTCGGAGAAGTGGCGCGAGTTGACAAAGTTGCCCCGACAGAGGTGAACGCCGACATGCATGTCTGAGGGAATTTGAGAGATGCATGCATTGTACAGGTCGATGTACTTGGCGAGAAGCTCGTCGGTTGAGTAGGTGTTTAGAGGGTCTTTTCCCCAACCAGCGATCATGGCTTCGGAGCAGAAATCTGTACGAGAAAATAAAAGCGTCAATTCATGCTGGAAACGTCTCCATGCCAGTGGTTGACGCTACAGAGTGGATTTCAACCTGCCCACTTACAAGCCAAATTGGGATCATCAAACTGCACATTTCTCAATCCATGGTCGTACAAAATTCTCAGTTCCTCTTGGTACGCTTTGGCAATGTCGGCAAAGTACTCATCATCGTTCTTGTACACGTCGGCGGGATACGCTTTACCCTGCTTGTACCTGAGATGATACCAGTTAGGGGCGGCAAGGGTGAGCTTGAGGTTCTTCCACTGGGACTGGGGCACGAGTCCTTTGAGGAAGTCAAATTGGGCGGTGTAGGTGCTGCCCTTGTGCCTGATCTTGCCCGTGCACAACACCGTCTCGCCGGGCTTGTAGCCCTCCTCCGTGAAGGCGGCGATGTCTGGGATGTACATACGGAAGAGGTCTGGATCCGGGTGTTCAATCTCGGTCATTCCCTCTAGCCCGGGGAAAAATGATCCCCAGAACATGTGTCTTCTGTATTCGCCATCGGTGAGGGCTTGGAACCCCAGCTCGAGCTGTAGCTTCACGATGTCCTTGATGTCGACGTCCTCGATCTCCTGCAGAGCTTCAGCCGACGCCTTCCCGGCCTCCCAGGCATGACGCGTGTCGAGCAGCTTGTCAGTGCGCAGGAGGGAGCCAAGGTGTTCGGCGCGAAAGGGCGGGTTACGGTGCAGAGGGAAGGACATGGTAGCTGTCAGGTAGGCGTGTTGAACTGTAGTTTCTGGAGTTATGGATGAGCGTAGGATCTCGTGGTTCTTGTACTTGACAAGCTGTCCCTCAAACACTACGGCGCAGGAACACTATCTCTCACTGGATAAGTAGCTTATACAAGCTATTCTAGACAGTACGGAAGAAGAACTAGCTACGTAAACAAACCTTTTATACACAAAGCGCCAACAACGACACCCTTACCCCGCGCCTGGGCAAAAAGTTTTCAGGGTTGGTTGTGTGGTTGTGGTTGAAAGAGTCAGGCAAGGAACATCAGGCCAATCGCTGGGCCTGAAGCGCCTGGAGACGAGTCTGGTACAATTACGGCGTGGAGAATGGTGGTCTGTTGAGATGAGGAGAGGCACAGGCACAGGAGGCAAGTCGTGGCAGTGAAAGAGGGGTAGAATGCAGGGAGGAAGTGAGCCTGCGTCCTGCGGGGAAAGTGTGACGACGATGGCGATGGCGGCGTTGGCGAGGAGAATGACAAACATGAATTGGGCTGTTGTCTCTCCCTGCTCAGGATCTCCGCCTATATTTGTCCATCCGGGCCAATCACCACTCCTACTCAAAGGACCCAAGAACTAAAGGCTGCAGGGACATCTCCAAGGTGAGTCCTGTGTCTCAGGTCGGGTCTAGAAGTCCGCCCGAGTTCAACGACGGCAATGAAGTGAGACCAAGACGACACCTACACATACTTGTCCACCTGGTGATCATCGATCGTGCTACCGCTGACCATCAGACAGCAGGTAAATGCCATCTTGAGACATCGGAGTGAGTCGGCTGTCAGGCTGTCTCACTTGCCCCTGGGAAACGGAACTGTTCCCCGTCATTGATCGCATCTCCGTCCAGTGCACGCGAGCATATCTGATATCTGAACCTTCAAGAGCAGCGGGATCAACGACAACTTAACACAGATGAATTTCCTCCAACACCCCAACGAGATCCTCAGCCGCATCATCTCATTCCTCGACGCCCCCAGCCCCTTTGATGCCGATATCTTGCAGAAACCCAAGTCGGGTCTGATTCCCTTCGAGTCTGAGGCAGGCATTGAGTTGACCAGCATCCCAACATCATTGCACCGCCCGCATGCCCTGAAGAACTTGACATTGACGTGCCGCCTTCTCCGGACCCTTACTCTCCCCGTCCTCTTCAAGCACTCCGTGCTCCATCCGCTACTACTGAGCGACTTTCTCTCCTTTCTCAAGAGGCATAACCTGAACCAATATGTCGTCAGTGTTGTCGCCCACGTGCCGGGCCACTACAACCACATTCATCCAGCCTGGTGGGCACGCTTGCTCAACGAGGTTCCTGCGATCCGCTTTAGTATCGTTGCCGCTCCCGAGATCCTAACCGAGCTGGCGGGGATCTGTTCGTGGACTAGCGACGCCTGGGCCTTTGACATGGCCTTCCAGATCCTGCGGCTTGACCAGACTCTAGAAGCCGCCCGGACGCCGATCGACTACGATGATCTTCCGAATTTCCTAGTTGCGCGACCATGGCAAAACATGGTTGTCAACGAAGGGTCCAGCCTGTTGGCGTACACGACCTACGAATTCTTCTTGCGGCGAACTCCGTCTCTGCTAACGGCGCTGCACTCCAACAACTCGGCTGCTGGAGATGCGCTGTTCAGCAACCTATTGAGTTTCGACTTCATTTCCATCTTTCCCTTCTACAACCATGTAGACGAAGTGCTCAAAAGTGTGCGCAAGATGCGACGGCTCCGGCGGCTGTTCGTCAAGCTGTGTCCAGAGCCACACAGCACCGTGTTCCGCGACGAGATCGAGCTGGCGGGCGGCGCGATAGACATTCATGATCCGTGGAACGAATGCGAGACGTCGTGGTCGCTGATTGCACACAGCGTGGTGTTCCTCACCACCGAAGGCCAACTGTCCGAGTTGCAGATGGACGACGTCAAGGTGGAGGGCATACGGCAAAGGCTGGAGCAGAATGTCAGTTCCCTGCTACAGGAGCGCTGGCGATATGAAGACCCGAGATCTGGAATTTGGCGACGGATAAAAGATCCCGGTGCCACTACAACGGGGATAGCGTAGAGCAACCCAGAGACAAGGTGTCGGCACTCACTCTCGTTCTCATGAGTTTCCTTTGACATGGTTTGTCCTCTTAAGCGAGAAAGATGCGTGGGCACATGAATGTTGTCAGCGAGCAGGCGCACAAGGCATTGGACTATTCAGCACGAGCACCGCACATGGTATTACCGCAAATCTGGATCTGGATCTAGATTCGACCTTTTCAAGATCTGCAATTTGGACACTTTGTGGACAAGCGTTTGGCATGACATGGGATATTTTGAGAGAATATGAGATAATACGACATGGCCTAGCAAACATAATACTATGTTGATCACCCCTAACAAAGTAGAAGAGCTCTCTCGAATACCTCGCCGCTTCTCTTTGGCGTCTCGATCTCAATGGCCACATTTCAGTTTGTCGCTTAACTCAATGAACCCTGGCGAGGAGAGGAGGAAAAGTGATCGACAAATGCGGAAGAGACAACAATGCCTCGACTCCCTTTGTCTACGCGTTTTATCCCCGATCCCCCTTCACACATCCTGTGCGGCTTTTGCACAAACAAACAAAAAGGGAGGCAGGCTGGGTAAGAACACCTACCTGGATCTTTATCCGCCCGGAACAATCTTCCAGGCCCCCTTACACCACCGCGCTACCATCAATAATATTCCCGCAACCAGAGGAGCGGACAAACTTCACCACCTCCGCACACAGGCGGGCCAAGGACAACCTGCTTGGAAATTAACATGGGTCCTGCACGCCAGAGAGGAACTAGGGGCACCTTTCCTGATTATCTCCTAGGTAGGCACCGGGTTAGATGTTTTTCTCGTTTGGTCTCGATTCCAGCCCTTAAACGAGCGGTCTCGTCCAATCTTATTTACTTGCCTGTCTAGTTTGGTAAGTTGAGAGGTGCAGGGGACAAATATGTCGCGGACACCATAACAGTGGTATGCATGTCCTAGCCAGAACAATACGTCATGGGCAATATCGCGCTCAAAAAAAGTTGTTCAATCTATCCATCGCGATCGCAGAATCACCGAGGTCTTCTACCCTCGCAGCGTTACCTCTACCTATCTACTCGTATTCACTTCAGCCACTTAGGTATGTAGCAGGACATTCATGCACACCAAGCAAGCCTCATGAAATTTTCAGGTTATAACGAGAAAGAATACGCGATAGAAATGCCGATGTGCTTCGTGGGAAAAGAGCGAGAATTCTCCC